AATAGCATGGGAATTCACTTTGTTGGATAAAATATTTTCAGCCAAGTGGGAGATGTAGGAATTTGTGTCTTGTAATATTTTATATGTCCACTACATTGTTATACTCCCGGAATAAAAAACCTCGGTGTGGAAGTATTCATGGAAATAACCGGTAATACTTGATGTGAAATTGTACTTAAGAAAATATACTTAAGGAAGCCGGTAAGGCTATATTGGAACACAGTGTATATGAATACACAGGAATTATACCCGGGAACAGTATAAAGCGGAATGCTAGGTTGTCCGTAAGATTGGCTTTATGGATTGTTAAAGCCTGTGAGTTTGATTTTGATTTCAAACTCGGCGCATGACTCACACATGCGTGTATGGGACCTTATTGATTAACAGTTTTTGGACTTGGTAACTGGTTGTTAATTATTGTGGTTGGTTTGACAAGTCACGAGTCCTAACTGGAAACAGATCGAAATATCTGGAACTTGGAGTCTATATAAAGTCCCACCCTCTAACCTCAATATGCATTGTGAGCGGCACCACCGATAAGGCAGAGGAATAGAGGGTAGGCTGTTTAGCTCCAAGAACCTAATTTTTCTAACAAGAGAGAGGTAAAAGGTGCATGGGCACCGCGAGAGAGAAGTGCAAATTAATAGCATGATGACCAACCACCTACACCAGAATCCCAGATATGTCTAGTGTTTTTGGATACCGTTTGGAAGCGGCGTAGACGGAGTAGAGTGGGAAGGAGGGGATGGCCTCCGACGACCCGGAGCCGATGTTGACGACGGCGCCCCTGCCCCGCTGCACCATCCCCGGCAGCACCGCCGCGGTCACCTCCGTCAGCGTCCACAAGTTCACCCGTATCATCCGCACCCACGCCTCCACGTCCATCTCGTGCAGGTACACCGCACATGGCTTGGCAACCCCGGCGTTGTTCACCAGCAGCCCCACGTCCAGCCCCTCCACGGTCTCCTGGAGCCGCCGCATCGCCTCGTCCCCTGCCAAATATAACCAGCATCAGTTCATACAAGGTGAAGTAGACGGTAACAGTCAGCTCCATTTTGTTTCACAAGGTCGCTTGCGTTCACTGCGTGTCGGTTCGTCCTAGCCAGTTTTATTTACCTTGAGGTGTGGCGACGAGCGAGAGGTCGAACACCACGGTCTTGGTCTGCACGGCGCGGGTCTTGGAGATGGTCTCGGAGATGTCCTGGAGCTTGGCGGGGTCGCGGCCGACGAGGACGAGGTTGAGGCCCCTGCGCGCGAGCTCCAGTGCCAAGGATTCGCCGATGCCGGACGTTGGACCGGTGACGACGGCCCATGCCCCGTAGCGGTGGCGGAGGTCCGTCGGCCGGCGCAGGAGGAGGGCGAGGTGTGGAAGGAGGCGGAACACCACGGCTGCTGAGTACAGAGCGCCGATAGTGGCCAGGGAGATGAACCATGGCTCCTGCCGGAGGAGAGCGTCGCCGCACATCATCTCTCTGTCTCTCCACAGTGTGTCGCGCGCGCCGTGGACGTGTCGCTGGCTCACTGCGTGTGCTAAGCGCTCGAGGTTCCCGCATTAAATAGGCAGATTTGTTATCCATAACTTTTTTTTAAACTTGTTATCCATAACCACTTAGTATCACCCGATGGATCACGCCGCGTCGACCGCCTCGGTGGCCGCCGGAACTGATTTTGATCTGAAGTCTAGGGGACGGCGTTGATTCGAGTTGTGCGTCTAACCAGTTGGTAATAGCCATATTCTAGTCTAGGGGGCAACCTCTAGCCACAAGCCAAAGATGGTCCCTTTGCAATTGCAACAAGGCTTTTATTGCAATGGTGACGTTGACAGCCCCAAGCTAAAGATGTTTCTGCATCAACAAAGGAAAGAGAAAACTTCATACATCAAACGGCCGGTCACTTTTCAAAAGATCAGCCAGTTATGCGTAGCACGTCTCATTGCTCATAATCCCCGGAGGGGGAGGGGGGGGGGCTCTAAGTCAATAATTACCCCCATGAAAAATAACATTTAGATGTGAACAGAATTATTTTTAGCACGAAAGGTTTTCACGGATGCTCGTATGAAGTTGCCATGGGGACGTGTTGTAGATTGCCACGAATCTCCTCTCTACCTTTTGTTTGCTTCCCGGGAAAGCAAGAAACATACGAATATAGGGGCATGGATTACCATGTGTTTTTAAGTAATGTTGCCATGTGAGTTTGAGCAATGTTGTCACGCAAATTTGTAAAAAGAGTTTCCATGTGATTATCTGCGATGTGCCATGTGATTTTGAGTGATGTTGTCGGGCTCACTAGCTAACACTGACAGATAGTGTGGGAGAAAAATTGCCACGTATTAGAAAATGTTAAAGGGTACTACCAGTCTACCATGCATGGCCGGTGTCGAGTGTGTGAAAAACAAAGAAAGTCATTACAAAAGTTGCCATGGTTGCTCTATACATTTTCTAAATATATTTCGTGCCAGCCGTTTTTTTCTTAATCGGATTTGCATGTCTTCATTGGCGCCCTCAAGTCTAGAACCTACAATTTTGAAGCTAGAAGCCTCTGTATTTTGCACTGTGCTGATTTTGGTTTCTGCCGTCGTTAGCGTGATAGGTTGACCACGTCGTCGCTCAGTATAGTTTTAGGAAGGGTAGCTGTGCCTTTGGTTCAATGGAAGCTCTAGTTTCTGGTTTCAAAGAAAAAAGAGTGTGACTAATTCTCAGTCGACTGAGACTTAACAAAATCTTAATCAAGTGAGAGGAAAAAATTTAAAGGAAATTTTACACGGATCTTCATGTAAGTTCTAACGAATATAGTATCGACTGAGATTTTGGTAGTCTCGCTCGACTGAGATTTAACAATTCCAACAAAAATTGTATATCCCGTGCACACAAAATTCAAGGGTCAACACGCCTCACAGCACTTGACTGTTTCGGTTTCCTTGCTTACTCGCCGCTGCCTCACCTCGTCCTCCTCCTCGACGCACCCGACGGCGCTGCCTTCTCCAGCCCCGCCGACGCTGGGTGGTATCACGGTTCAAAACGAAAAGATTGTGAAAAACCGGTGCCGTCTAACGTCCAACCAGCCACTTCCTAGTGGATTTCCGATTGCATGATGAGCGCATCCCATGGATATATCGAACTCATACACAATTCGTGAGACCGGTGACGGACAGAACCTTGGGAGGGAGAGGAGCCACTTTGTTGGCTCGAGCGGCACTGCAACCATGTGAGCGGCCGCTGTAGTACCTTTTTTTGGAATTGTTTTTTTTCTTTCTGGCAGCATGCAGTACCTCATTTGTTTTTTTTTCGAGTCTGCAGTACCTCATTCAGCTGTGTTAGTGTTAGAGCATCTCTAATAAAAGATTTACATGCGAACCAACCTGTGCTTGGATGGTTAGAGGGACTGTGCTATCCCCAGCCCATCGGGGTTCAAATCCTGGTGCTTATAGATGACTTTCGGCGATGCACATGCAGTGGGATGAGACGTTCACGCGCTTACAATGACTTCGTAAATCTCAAGATGATATGCCGGCTAAGTCTTTCAGAGGTGCTCATGGAGATAGGGTGTGCGTGTGTGTTCATAGGGGTGAATGTATGTGCGTGTATATAAGTACTTGTGTCTGTACTGATATTCAAAAAAATAGAAGATGTACATGAAAAAATAACTAACTTTTGCATCTTTGACCAAAACCACCTCTTCAACAGATGGTGTAGATGCAAAAATATTTACATCTCCGTCTTTCGAAGATGTAAACTACAACACCTTGCGGTGCAAATTTGCATCTCCATCTACAGGAGATGTAAAAAGACAACCGCCCGCCAACCGCCTAAGTGTCGTTCCATTCTCTTCCACGCGACCAGT